CCACATACTAACCCCTTCTTTCATTTAAAAAAAAAGATTGAAATATTTGATATTGAAAAAAGAATCCATAACATCCCAACTTGCTTTTATAACTGACACATAAGTTTTATCATCTTCTGATACTCTTCAGTGTCCAATTAAAATCATGCTCTCTAGTAACCTAGTCACAACCACCTATAATGTCTTAAGTAGGAATAAAAAAGCCATGCAGCTTACTAAACTAAACTAACTTAACTAAACTTACTTAACTAAAGCACCACTCTATAACAAAAAGTATTTTTTTCCTTTTTTTATTGGTAGAAAGTACATGTGCCTGCCAGAGAGAGACAAAAAGTACCTCCCAATGGGGTGTGGTCATGCTACAATCCTTTCTCCTCCATTTCTCCATCCAGTCAGCATTTTGGATATGTTGTCACCTGTGCCCAGCATGTTCCTTGAGCCCCAGAGCCTGAATTTGAACAACAGTCGAATCTGGCTCCCTATGCACAGTGCTTAACCACTGAACTGTGTCGGCCCTTTGCTTCTTTTTCCTTAAATGTCACCTGACAACAACTGTCTTGGTTAGGAGAGTCATAAATTTTCAGGGAAACACATAAGAACTGAAGAAACAAAAGAAGTAGATTTTTACCTCTTTGTATAGGTTTAGCATCATTAAATTACTATGTCTGCTCCCAAAGAAAATAAAACACTTCAAAATATTTAAAAGACACTTGCTGGGACCAGCAGTTGGCATAATGGCTATGTCACTGGACTCCCATGTAGTCGACTGTGGTTTGAGTCCTTGACCCGGTGGCTTAAACTCACACCAGGTGAATGTCCGTGCATGCCCAAGATCCTGAGAGGAGAATGGACAAGAAGTGATTGTGGTGTGGCCACCCTCTCTGGGGGGTGATTTCTCGCTTTCTATCTCTCTCTGTCTTTCTGGCGAGCACACACGCCCTATAGTAAAAATCTCTAAAAATAAATAAATAAATAAAAGATACTTAAGTATTTCAATTTCCAGTTTATGTTAAACTTTGATTTAATATTGCAACATCAATTCCTTCAATTAAATCATTTTGACCATTACATAAAGAAAACATAACTGCTTTCTTTAAACTCCTAACATAGTTTCTCTATAAAATTAATTTTGGGGGCCAGCAAGTAGCATGGTGGTTGAGGTGCTGGACTCCTACATGACTAACTATGGTTTGAGATCCAGACTCGGCAGCTTGAAAATCACTCCGGGTGTCTGTGCATGCGTGTTAAAAATCCCAAAAGGAGAATGGAGAACAAGGGATTGAAGAGTTAGGGCATCTTAATGAAAGAAAATGATCAGGTGACCAGAAAATGGCCTAACGGTTACGCTGCTAGACTCCCATGTAGTCAACCATGGGTCAAGTCCCAGACCTAGTGGCTTAAAAACTCGTGCCAGGCATATATGTATGTGTGTGTGTGTGTGTGTGTGTGTGCCCAAAATCCTGTCCCGAGACTGGAAGAGAAAGGGTTGCAGTGTGGCCATCCCCCCTGGGAGGTGATTTCTCGCTGTCTCTCTGCCTCTTTCTGTCTCTTAGGCAAGCAAACATGCCCTATAGCAAAAAACCTCTCTCTTAAAAAAAAAAAATAAGAAAAAGAAAATGCTCAGAAATATGGAGGAAAAAAGCAACCAGCATATTTTAGGAAAGGAGAGTAGTATAATATATAGCTAAATGGTAGGTGGGCAAAAGGGTTTTAATAAGTGGGAGATAAAGTTAGAAAAACAGCTCAAGACATACCTGAAATGGGTTGAAATGCAAGCCAAGGTGCACAGATACTATTCTATACACAACACCAAACAACTGAAGGTTTGGGAACAGGAGAGGGGAGCCATCAGATCTATACTTTTAGAATGACATCATGGTAACTGTTCACAAAAGTTAAATTAAGGATAAGATTGACATCAGAAAGAACAATTAGAAACTGTAATAATCTAGAAAAAAGTGGTGAGTACCTATTTAGGTCAGCAACAATGGGAATAAAAAGAACAGGATGGAGTGGAAAGACAGGTAAAATAAATAGAATTTTAGAACTAACTGGAACTTGAGAATTAGAGAGCAGTCAAAGGTAACTCTTAGTGATGAGGCAACAAGGGGAAGGATGTATCAATACATCATTCTTAGTGAAATCACTCCCTGTCCATATGCTTTGGTCTTGCTGCACATACAGATCCTGCTACAGGAAAACCTATAAAGTGATTTAAGAGCTATAATTCTAAAGTCACACAGATCTTAAGTTCTACCTGCTTCATAATAAGCTAAATGATCTTAGATATATAATTTCATCTTTAATAAGCCTCATCTTCATCTGTAAAATAAGGATATTAACACCTGCCTCAGAAAGTTGTGAAAAGGACTGAGATAATGCTTGTAAAGCACTAGCAGAGACTTGGCACATGGTAGGTACTATTACCATCTTTTATTTGAAGGGCAAGGAACATACAATACTATTTAGTTTCCTTCATTATGCAAAAGTATTAAGTATTCAAATAATTGTAACTTTAAAAAATTAAAATATGGTCTAAAATGCGGTCATTCATTTCACTGTACATTATCTACCCATTGTTTTGTGTACCAATAAGCAACAGCAATAAAATCCTTGTTTTCTGTGATCCCCCTCTAGTGGTGATCTTAAGAAGCTTTAAAAAAAAATGGCCAAAAAAAAAAGGAAACATAATAACAAAACAAAGAATAAGAGATCAGGATACACAAAATTATCAAAATAAACATCAAAGTGAACATTTTCTTTAGTGAAGCTATATGGGCTTTACTCAACAGGAAAAAGAAGATGAATGAAGTATCTCCTAAAATGCTACTTAGGTAAAAACTACTTCAAAAAAGAGGTTTTAGAAATCTCTAGGCTCTGCAAAGCTAAGCATTTACTTTTCTGTGAGACTTCACAGATTCCTATGAATAATGTGATTTTCCAAAAGCAATCTTTGCTTTTTTTAAAAAAGAATTATATTATTTAACTTTATTTATTTATTTATTTATTTTTAATTTGACCAGAAAGGGATAGAGAGAGAGAGAATGTGAGAACAAAAGCTACCACATCCAGGACCCAAACCACAGTTGGCCATGTGTGAGTCCAGCCCCCTTAACCACCACATCACCTGCCATCCTCCAAAAGCTATCTTTCTCAAAGACATTCACTCTAACCAACAAACCCTTTTTTCAGTAGAACACTTACTGTAACAACAGGGGACATATGTACTAGAATTTCATATAACTAATTATATTACTAAGAAGAAATTAGGCAATAATATTTGTTTAGCAACAAGTTTGGAAAAATAATTATTATGTAAATGGATAATATGGGATTTAAGGACACCCTGAGAATAATCTTGAACAAACAAAAATCCCAAAATGAAAAGCATTTTAATTAAATCTTTAGCTGTAAGCCAGTATTCCTAATTTTATATCCCTATTTAACAAGTATTTAAATAACCATCTCGTAAAACTTGTATTAGTATAACAAGCAATATATCAGCATATAAAAATAATCTATCAAATGAAGTCATAATTTTCACCTTTGTTTTTGTTTTTAGTTTTTGCTATAGAGTGCATGCACTCACAGGATAAAAAGAGAGAAAGTGAGAAATCAGCCCCCCACCCCAAGGAGGGATGGTCATGCTGTAATCCCTTCTTCTCCATTCTCCTCAGGATTCTGGGCACACACACACACACACACACACACACACACACACATCCGCGTGCAACTGGCACGTGTAAGAGGGTGTAGGACTCGTAATGCAGAGTCGGTTATGTGGGATCCAGCCACCCTAACTCTGAGCCACCTTCTGATTCAATTTCCAGATGCTTTTCTTTGTTTTTTAGATTTTTGCCTTAGGGCATGTGTACATGCCCTAAGAGACACAGAAAGCAAGAAAAAGTGAAAAATCATCTCCAAGGGGGGATGGTCAAGCTGCAATCCCGTCTTCTCTATTCTCCCCTCAGGATTTTGAAAACACACACACATGCACCCAGTATATTTTCTAAGCTACCAGGTCTGGACCTGAAAAACTACAGAGCTAGCCTAGAGAATCCAGCTGCCTTAACCTCCACACTACCAGCTGGCCTCCAATTTCCAGACTTTTAAAATTACTAAAATACTGAAACAAGGGACCAGCAGGTGGTGTGGTGGTTAAGTCTCTGGACACTCCCACATGGCCGACCACGGTTCAAGTCTCGGACCTCGTGCCCTTTCTCACTTTCCCGCTCTCTCTCTCTCTGTGTCTTTCTCTGGTCAAATTAAAATAAAATGAAAGGAATAAATAAAATAAAAATAAATAATTCTTTAAAAAAAAAAATACTGAAACAAACCAAAACTATTTCATCGGTGTTCAAGAGAACTGCGAAAAAAATTTTTTTTTTAATTTTGCCAGATGGCACATGAACTTGCCTAGGAGAGAGACAGAGAAAGTAAGAAATCACCCCCCTTGCAGCACAGTCACACTGAAATCTCTTTTCTGTTACATCTGTTTTTGTTTTTGGTTTTTGGTTTTCTTTTTTAGAGGTTTTTACTATAGGGAGCATGCACTCGCCAGAAAGAGAGAGAGACAGAAAGTGAGAAATCACCCCCCAGGGGTGATGGCCATGCCATAATCCCTTCTTTATTCTCCTCGCTGGACCCTGGGCCCGCATGCACACGCGCCCGTCATGAGTGTAAGCCACTGTGTCCAGGACTCGAACCACAGTCGACTACATGGGAATCCAGCGACATTGCCATTACACCAAATGCTGGTCCCTTTTCTGCTACATCTTTCCGTTTGGGATTTTGGGCAAACATGCCCATGTGCATGGTGTGTTTTTCTTGTCACTGGGTCTGGGACTTGAACCACAGGACTTGCCGTATCAGACTCAGTCACCTTAACCACTATGCCACCACCAGTTGGCCCAATAGGAAAACACTTTTAAGTGGCACCTAAAACAGTAAAAGCTGACATCTGTACCTGGGATTCCCTCTTAGAGCAGCATGATGTAGAGCATTAAATCCATTGTTGTTTGTGATGGTAACATCTGCTCCAGCTTCCAAAAGAACTGCCAGGATGTCATCACGCTTCTTACTGATTGCATCATGAAGAGGAGTATCTCCTTCAGAATCCTTTTTTTAAGTTTAAAGATATTTTCATTAGTTCTTCAATTAATTATCATATCTAATAGTAATATTTATACTGAATGACTAAACAGAGAAAAAGAAACAAAAGTCATATCCAGCAACTGCCCTTAAGAGATCATGCTGTGTTAAGCCTAAAGATGCAGGAAAGAAACATTAGGCACATCATACTAAATAACATCATATTTAAGTCTAGATGGAAAGCACAATTAACATGCTTCCCTTTACCAAGAGGAAAAAAAATGAAAATCAAAGTAGGAAACCTTAAATACAATTCAACTAATAACTAAAATTACTAGGATGAAAAAGCCACCAAAAAATTTAGTGAGTTTTAAAATGCCTGCTATACCATATTCCTACCATGAATTGTTGTACCCTGAAATTCCATACCGAACCTACATTAGTTTCAGTCCCCTTACCAACAGATTACAAGTCAGTGGTTTTACAAACCAGCAGGTGGCACAGTGGCAGGGCTTGGTCTTCTGCATGGCAGGCTCACATGTGAAAGGTAATAGTTTGCAGGACCAGCAGGTGCATAGTAGCTAAGATGCTAGACTCCTATGTAGCTGACTGAGGTTTGGGCTCCAGACCCAGAGGCCTGAAACTCAGGTCAGGCATGTATGTGTGTATATACGCACGCATGTGCACCCAAAATTCCTGGAGAATAGAGAAGGGATTGCAGCATGGCCATCCCTGCTGGGGGGTGATTTCTCACTTTCCCTCTCTCTGGTGAGCACACATACCCTATAGCAAAAACCCTTAAAAAGAAGAAATAAAGATACTAGCTTGCATCTGAGGATCTCCCTGAGTAGGACAGGCACATGTGCACCCATGATTCAGGCTGGCTGAGACTAAGGGTGGATCACAGTGTTGGGATCCTGCTGGAGGTATTATATCTCTGTCTCTCACTCTCACTAGAGTCCTCAGTCCTGCTACTCAGTC